AAACCAAAGGTCATCAGTGGCACAAACAATTGCTCTATTCCTCCAGTCCTGCCCAGCAATGAGTAAGAACAAACCACTGACCCAGGCCACAGCACCATGGTCTCCAAACACAACGCTGAGCACAGGCAACAGGACCCAGAAGGGTGTCCACCATACAGGCCAATCCCACCAAGTTCCAGGAGCCCCAGCCACTGTGACTGCCTTTCCCTGTGGGGCCGAGGGGAGGTGCTGGCCAAAGGGACAGCAGTGAAGGAGGTTCTGGTTCTGGGGCTGTGAACAGTGGCCACTCAAAATTGGCAAAAATCATCCGCTGGATGCTTACAACCTATGCAATCTACAGTATCTTGATTATTCCTCAGTCAAAAAAGATAAGTGGGAGGGGGAGACAAAATCCACCTTCTCCCTACCCACCCCTCCCTCCGCCCTCCTGTAAAGTGAGTGGAGACAATTTACGTCCTGTGCTGGGGCCAGCAGGGTTTGGTTTAAAATTGCTTTAGGTGTTTTCTGAAATGCAATGTACAGAGAGGCCCATGTGCAGGGCAGAACTGCGGTGAGTCATGGCTGGAGAGGTTCCGGAAGGTTCTCATGGGATGGGGAGTCTGAGCGTGTGGACATCCCTCCCTGTCTCATGGCTGCTCTTCCTCCCCACCAGGCAACACACAGAGCTTGCCTTCCTCTCATCTCCTCGATATTCTGGAGGCTTCTCTGTGCGCCAGGCCCTGCAAACACTTGGCCCAGCCCTTATGTGGGGAGACTACCGAGTAACCTGGGTTGTCGAGCACAAGAGGGACCCAAGCCCGTGGGTCAGGACACTTCCCCATGCGGGGCTGCCTGACCATGCCCTCCATAAGGGACTGAAGGCTGGAGGGGAGGGCTCTGGGTCAGCGGTTCTCAACTTGGCCCTACATGAGACTTATCAGGGGACCCCTGAAAGCCTCCATGTCCAGGCTGCACCCCACAAACAGAATCAGGGTCTCCAGGGTGGGCCCCTGGCACCAGTAATTTTATACATATCTATAAGGTGAATATAAAACACGATCACAATAGGTATGACTCACAGAGAGATGCTGACGGGTAGAGATGCTGCAGGTACAGATGTCTCACAGGTGATTCTAAGGTACAGACAAGGTTGAGGACCTGTGTCCTGGGTAGAGGTGACAGCCAGGAGTCAGCAGAGAAAGACCCCAGTGCCTGAGATCTGAGGAGGGGACGGAGGGGAGTCGAGAAACGTGCCCAGGAGAGGGGGCAGCTGGAGTGTCCCCGCCCAAGCCTCACGTCCATCGGACAACTTACGTGGAAACAGGGTCCTTGCAGACATTATCAGGGCAAAGATGGATAGGAAACCATCCAGCATCGGGGTGGGCCTGAATCCAGTGACAGTGTCCCGGAAAGGACACAGGAAACCAGGAGAAGGCGAGGCACACCAAGGAGCACCGCTGGCCCTGCAGCGGGGGGCGTGGGGGGGGGCTGCCTGGGACACCTCCCTTGGGGACCTGTGGCCCTTGACTTCAGGCCTCTGGGCCCAGGACGGCGGCTGCCCAGGAAGCCTGGGAAACGGATACGGGGAGGCAGGGCCTGCTGGGCCAACAGAGCAGGAGCCGAAGCTGGGACCACTGAGGGCCAGGGAAAGGGCCTGGGCACAGGCGGCAGGAGGCTGAGCTGGCCAGGAGGGCCACAGGAGGGAGGCTTGCTGTGGGAGGACACCAGCGGCTCCCTGACTTCTGCCCCGGAGAGGTGGGGGTGGGGCGGCGCTCAGAGGATGGAAGCCTGCGAGGTGCCACCGTCTGGGTGGGACTACAGCAGGGCTCCGGGAGGAGGGGGTAGCTCCCCAGCAACACTGCAGCCCAGGTGCAAGGCGGGGCTGGACCTCGGGGGGCTGGGGTGGGAGCTAAGAGAAGGAAACTGCACTCTCCACAACCAGACTTCCCCCCCCCTCCCCTGAGCCTGGCTCCAGTAGCTGGTTCGTTTCTTTCTTCTCGAATCTGAGAACTCGCCCTCGTTTCCCGAGAGGGCACACAAAAGGCAACTTCCAAGTCGACAAGTCAACCTTGCAAGTAAGTGCCGGCCCACTCCGTTTCCTACCAAGTCATCCTCTCTAACAGGCACACACCGAGTCAACTGGCCAGTGATGACCTATTGCACACCTACTGTGCCAGCACGTCACTCACACACCGTCACTGGACACTGATCGACTGTATCCCTACAGATTACAGCAACCCGGTCAGTCATAAGCATTTATGGAACTACCAGACACTGGGCCGGGAACACAGAACCAAGAAGCAAAGAAAAATGGCCAAGATTCCGGGTGAGAGGGACAGTGGCCAAGAGGTAGCCCAGGGTGGCATGACAAGAAAGGGTGGAGTTATGAGAAAACTCAAAGCAGCAGGTATTTCACAGAACTAGAAAGTTGGAGATTAGGCTTTGCCACCTACAGAGCGAAAATGGGTGAATCACTTTACCAAGAAAGTCTCAGTTTCCTTATCCGTCAGAACGAGGCGGGTGAATCTAGTGCTTTTTAAAAAGAAAAGAAGAGAAAGCACATTTTCAAGCTTCAGACAATTTCCTCAGGCCCCGGTGACCTTGTAGGAGGAGGAGTATGGCCTTAGGTAGAGGAGGGGTATGGTTTAATAATGATTCTTTAAGACTCGGACGGACGCCAGATAAGTCGATGTGAGGAGCAGAGAGGGGACGCGGGCTGAGGCAGGTGGCCCTGCTCAGGCCAGAAAGTGAAGACCTTATCTGCTCAAAATGCCCCAGATCACTGGGGAAGCACCTGCATCACCTCCCCACAGCACCCCAAGGTGGGATGCATCCCAGGGCAGGGTGTGGCAGCCTGGAGACCACAGTTGGTGAGGGGTCAAGGTCTCCACACACGTCCCCCGGTACCTGCTGTGGGGTCCTAACTCTCCCAGCGCAGAATACAAACTCAACACCAGCTTGGCCCCCCAAGAGGCAGCAAGAGACCAGAGCACCCCTCCACCCAAGACCTACCAAGGCCAAGCAACGGCGGCTCTCCTAGAGAAGGGGCCGCCCTGCCTGCTGCTGGCTTCTCACCCCAAGGGCCAGTCTTCCTCAGCCCTTCCTGTGTGAAACAGTGCTGCTTTCCCGTGGCTCATCTGAAGTCAAGACTACCTCTGAGTAACAGAAGCTACTGGGCAGGCTTTGCCTGAGCCACAGAGTATTTTAAACTCGTTGCCATTTTTAATCAATCGGTATGAGTGTGCTAGAGACGGAACCCAGGGCCTTGTGCATGCTGACCACAAGCTCCACCACCAAGGAACACCCTGGCCCAGTCGCCATCTTTAAAACATCCAGAGCTGTGCTGTCGTGCACACCTATAATCCAAGCAGCTCAGGAGGCTGAGGCAGGAGGATTGCAAGTTCACAGCCAGCCTCAGCAACTTAGGGAGGCCCTAAGCAACTTAGTGAGACCTTGTCTCAAAATAAAAAATGAAAAAAGGCTGGGGATGTAGCTCAGTGGTAAAGCACCCCTGGGTTAAATCTCTGGTACCAAAAAAATAAAAATAAAATAAAATATAAATAAAACACCAGGAGACTTTGGGTTTAGGTTTTACAGTTCAAACATCTGGCCACACTGAGTCCACGTTCCCATTTGAGAATCCTGCTGGAGTTGGGGAAGAGCAGCCCAGGAGGGGAAAGTGCCACTGATCCCCAATCTCTCTCGCCCTCTGGGTGCCGCCCAACCCACTTCTGTTTCTACCACCTCCCCGCCGCCTCTGTAGGAAATTGATGTCGTGATACCTACTTGTGGAAAAATGTCCAATAAAAAAAATTCAGAAACAACACGGAACATGATTACAACCACATGAAAGGCTCCTTTTCATTGAACCCAGGGGAGCTTAACCACTCAGCCACACCCCAGCCCCTTTATAATATTCTATTTAGAGACAGGGTCTCACTGAGTTGCTGAGGCTGGCTGTGAACTCGCAATCCTCCTGCCTCAGCCTCCCAAGTTGCTGCGATCATAGGCGTGCGCCACCACGCCCCGCACAACACAGAAGATTCTTAAAGAAAGACTAAAAATACTATCTAAACAATTTTTTTTTCCGAAACAGTATTCTTTTTTCTTTTTCTTTGTGCTTTTTGGAATAATTGTAAGCTTTCAGAAGCACAGCAGAGGGTGAGCCTCATGAAGTTCTCCTGCCAATTCCTCAGAAAAAGCTCAGGGCACCCCTGAAGCTGAGAGGCCGAGCTGGACTTCCTGCCCAGTGTCCTTCCAGATGGCACCTCTCGGCCATTTCGTGCTGAATGCTGAGGGTGTCCTGCAACTTGACGACTGTTGGCAGGAGGTCTTTATCCCCGCCAGACTGTGAGCTGGTGGAAAGCAGGGAAAGTGCCCTGCTCCCTGGGGTGGCCCAGCACCTGCCACCAGATAGTCCTCAGGAAAGCCACAGCTGGGGCGGGAGGGTACAGAGCTCAGCTCCTCGGGCATCAGATCCCAGCCCTGCCGCCCTCTGGCCGGGTGGGCTGGCTGCTGACCCCTCAGCCGCCCTCCTCATCTGTAAAATGGGACAGCGACAGAGGCCAGGGCCAAGGACGGCTGTGTCCCGTAAGCCGCTAGGAGTGCAGGGCTTAGCAGGGTGACTGGCAGCAGCAGAGCCCAGGGACGCCAGGCGCTGTCCTGTAGCTGATGTTCCCGCTGAAAGGGCAGAGGAGGAAAAGGAGAAAGGGACACCGCGTACAGGGCCCTCACGCCAACCGCATGGGCCCTTTCTAGGACCACAACAGCATTTATATGTTCTGAATCCTCCAAACAAAGCCGCAGGCTCCCCATTAGCTGTACTATTTTTTAATTTCCTGTGAGGCCACAAAACCCTCGGCAAGTAAACAGAAGCAGAGATAAAAACCTGGCTCGCTCCCTGTCCCGGCCCCTGGGTCATCGTGGACCCACCGTTAATCCTCGTGGCCCTGTGCAGCCCAGGGTGGACGCTGGCGTACCCCAGTTTCCACGGACAGGCCCCGCCCGGGGCCCCCACTTACAGCACTCGATGGGGTTGGACGCCGTCTGCAGGGAGACGATGCGGCCGCTGGCCTCGGGGATGTGCACGCGGAACACCAGGCGCACACGGGTGTTCTTCCTGCCGATGTCCGTCTCGCCCTTGCGCAGCTCGATGTCCGCATTGCGCAGCTTCAGGATCCCGGCGCAGTCGATGCTGCAGGAGTGGACAGCCCGGTTGAAAACCCCGAGACTTGGGAGCAGGAGGGGTCACCCACAAAACCGCCTTCTGCAGCTCTCCGAGACACCTCTGCAGCTGGCCGCAGGGGACAGGCCCTGCCACACAACCACAGGACCTCAGCCGGAATGTGCCCCAAGATGTGGCTGAAGAAAAAGGCTTACGACGTAAGTAGAGAAATTCCCCAGGGAAACGACTTGCCTAGGGGACCTTCTCGCACCAACTCTGCTACTCTCAAAAGTATCTGAAAAACTCAAATATGCAATTGGCCAAGGTGAGGGCGGTGCCGGGTGAGGCCTCCTCCCTTGAACTTGACCATGTGCTGGGTTGTGTGAGAGCATCTTTGTTGTTAGGTGAAGCCCACTGAGGTATTTAAAAGGCCTAAAACCTGCAATTAAGTCTCAAAACAGCTCAGGGAGGGAGGACTGGAAAGGAAGGGATATATTTAGCAAATGGGGAAAAGTTAACAATTGGTCCACCTCAGTGACCGTCCCTCGGGAGTTCCCTGCACCCTTCTTGCCGTTCTCCTGTGTTTGAATCTGTTTTCTCATGAGAAGATGGGTTAGTCCAGGCGTGTGTGCGGCCTGTCCCTCTCTACACCACAGGACGCTGGCCTCGAGCTGGGCCCTCTGTGTTGCTGCCTGGTGAGTTCTTTAAGCCAAATACATTTTTTTAAATGGACATAAACTGAACCTCCCCCCGAAATGATGTAACCCAGAGATTCATGCGTCCCTCCCAAGACCGAGGAAAGCATCCACATGAAACACTTTAAACACGGAAATCAGCGTGGGTCTTCCACAGACTGGGAACTGACAGAAACGGCAGAGGCCAGAGGACCCTCCACGATGAACAGAAGCAGAGATAAGACCCTGGCATGTCCCCTGTCCCGGCCCCTGGGCCACCTCGGACCAGCTGTTTATCCTGTGGCCCTGTGTATTCCTGAAGGCCACCCAGGTCCCCTGCCAGGTGCCCTCCCCGGGTGGACGCTCCCCATTTTCCAAGGACAGGCCCACCCACCGCTGCACCTTCAGCACCTCCACAGTCCTGCCTCCTGGCCCTGCGGCTTCCCACCCAGAGCCCCGGCGCCCGGCGTTGCCGCCCTTACGTTGCCCGCATGTTGTTCTTGGGCTCCAGGGGGATCTCCAGGACCTTGGTGTTGCCCACGATCTTTTCGTAGCTGGTGGTGGTGACGGTTTTCCCCGTGATCCGGTGCACCTGGTAGAAGGCGTGCGGCTTGAGGATCCGCTCGTCGGCCGTCCCAATGAAGATCTGGAGCCCCAGCGGCTTGTTCTCCATGTAGCCGTGCAGCTGCGGGGAGAAAACAGGATCGTGAATGTGCAGGCGGCGGTGGCCCCAGTCTGACAACCAGAAAAGCTCCAGCGCAGCAGAGGGAACCCGGGAGGGCTGCAGGGGCACCACGAATGGAGACCCAGAGCCACCCGGTGCCCATCCGGAGGGGACTGCCCGCGGGAATCACAGGCATCCCCTCAAGAAAGGATGCACTAGATGAGCAGCAGTCACTGAGAAAGCCAGGCACTGTACATAGCCAGCGATGGGGTGTGGGCAGCGTGGCCTCCCAGCGGGCACAGAAAGAACCCGGGTGGGAGCAGCCCTTGACGTGGCTGCCGGCAAGTCAGGAGAAAGGCTGTGGGCACCACTTCTCCCGGCTTTTCCCACCTCCTCCTCCTCCTTCCTCGAACTCAACCCGACACACTGTTTTCTGGATATTTTTTCTTTTAACCTCAGTCTTCTTCCCACAAATAAGCTGCCATCAGTGAGGGCAGGAATGTTTTCTATTTGGCTGAACACAAAGATCCCTGGCACGTAGAATACAGCGTGGCACACAGTAGGCACGCTAGGATGCGTGTGCTGGATGAACTGATAGAAACTGCGCAACAGAAACATGGCCAGGAATCAGTCCACAGGGAAACAGCCACGGGCAGAAGAGAGGGTCTGTGTGGCTGTAAACAGGCGCAGATCCAGCTACCACAGGACACCACGTGTCCCCTCTTGAATTGGCATACACAGAGGTATACGTGGCAACATCGAGAGCTTTGGAGACTGTGGAGGAACAGGTGGGCTCGTGTAGCTGATAGACATGTGACCCAGCGTAACTACCATCATGAGCACCAAACAGCAGTGCCAATAAGAACACAGATTTAAAAACAGTCACTCTCCGACCCAGTAACCATGAACCTCAGCATGCACCCTAGAGCAGCACTGTGCATGCAGATGAATTTAAAACAATGTTTACTAAAACAAATAGAATAATGAGCAATGAGTTTTATCAATAGGCTGGACTGAGATGACAGGCCCAGGCAATGAAGGACACACAACGGTTTGAAAAAAAAAAAATCATTATTCAGGTAGAGGTCTATGAAGTGACCCAGAAAGATCCAGCATACCTTGTTGAAAGAAAGAAAAACCATGTGTCAAAACCTACAACTTATAAAACAATGCAGAATGTTTTCCACTCGTCCACTTCTACTTCTGCAATAGAAAAAGGTATGGAAGGATGCTCTCCAAACTGACCACACCATGACCACGTCCAGCAGATGGAGGCGGAGCTCAGGATTGAGAAGGAGGTCAGAGGAGACTTCGACATTATGCACATGGTATAGGAAGAATGTTCTGCTGAAAACTGGGGAAATTTAATATTAGTTTTAAATACCCAGGTCAAGAATGATGATCTTCCAGTTTGATGAAGAGTTCCTGCCACTCACAGCAGAGGAAGCCGGGCCACTCATGTCACCCTCTCCTGCCTCCAGTCCTTTCTCTGCCAACTGAAAGGTGACAACTCCCTAGGATCCCACCCTTCTTCCAAGTTCCAGGAAACTCAGCAGGATCTCCAGTCTCAGGTCAAAAAACAAAGAGAGCTGCCAAGGCGATGGGTGACTCCCCATGTCTAGCACTGTGCTGCCCAACCCAGGAGCCACTAGCCACACACACGCTAATTAAAATTAAACAAGATTTCCCAGCTCGGTGGCACAGGCCTGGGATCCCAGCTCTTCTGGAGGCTGAGGCAGCAGGATCACAAGTTCAAGGTCAACCTGAGCAAGATCCTGTCTTCAGTTAAAAAAAAAAAAAGCTGGGGATATAGCTGAATGGTAGAGTGCCCCTGGGTTTGATCCCTAGCACTGAAAACAAAAACAAAACAAAAAACCTCTTTTTTTAATTACAAAATTAAACAAAATTGGAAATTCAGTGTCCGGGTCCCACTAGCCACATTTCAAGGGCTCACCCACCACTACCATCGTGGACAGCAGGAATACAGAACACCTCCATCATCACAATAGTTCTCCTGGACGCTGGCCAGTCTAGAAAGACGGAGTCCTTTCATCTTCTTCTTTATTGTGTCAAGGCCGGGAGAGGCGCAGAGCCGGGCGATAAGGGATGAGGCTCGTCTCCATCTGCCGCTGCCACCCACCACATTGACACAAGTGTCCGACACCCGCCCAGGAGGCCCGGGAAGATGAAAGTCCAGGGAGAGGCCCCTTATCTGAAGACCAGGTGGCAGAAATCAAAAGGAAGGAGGGTAGCGCTGAAGAGATTTTGTTTTGTTTTTCCTGCCTTTCATTGGAACCCAAGATAAATATGTTTGCTCATCTCTTCCGCTTGATTTATCAGGAGTGGGAAACGTGGGCTCGCACGGGAAGAAAAGCAGGCGGGACGGCGGGGCCCGGCGGTTCTGGGCTGCCTCCTGCTCCCTGCCAAGGGCAGGCAGCGCGCTGGGCGGACGCCTGGGAGACAGCCAGGGAACACCTGGAGATAGACCTGTCACGTCTGTGGCCCTGAGTCCGGCTGCTTCTGTTTCCTCCCGGTTGGCACACCAGCCCGAGCCACCACAACCGTGGGGACCATCAACGCCCAGCTTACCTCCTGCCATATTCATAGGGCAGCTCAATGTTCTTTTTAAAAATGCCAATCAGATCCAGGCATTCCCCTGGCTAACCTTCCAAAAACTCCCTGCGGCCTTAGAATAAAACCCAAACTCAGTGGGGGCCTGCCTCTGTCTCCTCCCTCCATCCTGCTGGACTCCGTGGACACCAGCCCTCCTTTGGTTCCCTGGACAAACCCAGCCCATTCTGACCTCAGGGCCTTTGCACAAGCCATTGTCTCTGCCTGGATAACTCTTCCGCGGTGCATTTAGTTTTCAGATCTTCAGCTCTTTCCCAAACCACATTATTTGGGTGCACCCAATGCCAGAGCCAGCTCTTTCAACCTTGCAAGAACCAAGTGTCCAATGTTTAGCAACTGAAGAGCCAGCGGACATCCCTTGGATCACTCAGGTACCTACATTCCCAGCCACGATGGTAATATTTCCACCACAAAAATTAGCAACCGCTTCAAAGCAGGGCTTTTTCCTGGAGAACTGAAGGAAGACTTTGCTAGCTGCCTCCTTCGTCACCATCTGAAGTGCCCCGTCTGCCGGGCTGCTGCCTTGCTAAGTGCCCTCCTGTCCACCTGAACATGAGCTCCGCACCAACGGGAACCTCTGTCAGGTGTCCGAGGATGGCCCCTGACATCTGCAGAAGGAACGCTCGCCGACAGCCTCGCAGCTCGTGGAGAGGGGCGCGTGGCCATTCACCGGCTTCTCACAGAACTGAACCATCCGGCCTTTACAAACACAGGTCTTGAGATGACGTGATCTGACCTCAAGGTCCCAAAGTCCTTGACCCCACTGCAGGGAGACCTCGGCCTTTCCCTGCTCCTGCAAAGGTGAGGTCTCCTGGATGGGTCACCTCCAGGCCTGTCAGTCAGTCTCCTGCTGGGAGGTGGCAGCTGAGTGGCCTCCAAGTGAAAGAGGAGCCACTTCCTGCAGCTGAGAGGAGAGCCGGGGCTTCTGCTGCTTAGGAGTTCGGGGGTGCTCCCAGGCTCGGAGGGGCACCCCACGCTGCAGCCCCCTGGAACTCATTTGCTTCAGACTTCAACCCGCGGCTGAGTTGACGTTCCGCTCCCCCCCGTTGCTGGCTCGGGGAAGGCCGTGGGGTGTGAGTCCAGCATCCCCTGCCCGTTCCCCGGAGCCGGTTCATAAACGACGCCTTCCTCCTCGCACCGTCCTATGGGAAGGCTTTTCTACAAATTCAGAATGCCTGCGGCCACGGTGGACCGGATCCCTGTAACCATGCTCAGAGGTGAGCAGCCCCTCCCTGGGCAGTACCCACAGTACAGAGAGTCCAGCGCTCGCTCCCACCCTAAACCCAAGCACTGCCCAGGCCTCCCGGCGGGGATCTGTCCAATGCAAAGACAGACCCCTCAGTGCTGCAGTCTTGCTGTCCCTCTCTCCTGTTATCAAAGTAAAAACAGTCCACTCACTACCGGAAATAGAGACGCCCAAATCGAAAAACACTGCCTTCGAAACAAGGGGCACCTTCACGTACTTCCTCCAGACTCCTCCTGTTCACCCACAGTTTACTTCGACATATTTTAATCAACCTGATAATGGTGTAAATGCGCACTGGGGGTACAACGTGGGAGTTGGCGTTTACATGGCAGAAGGATCAAATCCAGCTGAGTCTCAGGCTACAGCTCTGCCTACTTAGTTTTACTCGGCAAATACTTAAAACCTACCTTTAGCCATTTTGAAACACACGACAGGTCGCTGGCCGCGGTGCCCGTTCTGTGGGTCACTGAAGCGCCTCCCCTGGCCCAGCCCGCATCCCTCCCCGGGCCTCTCTTGGGCGCAGATGCGCACCTCTGGGGTCCTTCCTTCCACTTCTCTTCCTTCATAGTGAAGTGTGGCCATCTCCCTACCACTAAATCTCATCCCATGAGACGACCTCACGGGACGCCTTGACCAACGATGATCACATCCACCCAGGCCGAGGACGCCCTCATGGGGAAGGCGTGACCCGGGCTGCCTGGGCCTGCGCCCGTGGGGTCCTGGGCTGCCTGAGTGCGGGGCCTGCTGCCGCCTCTGGCCAGCACCCAGAGGATCAGCCCACGGATCACGGCTGGGAAAGAGGGAGACTGAGAATGGCGCCACCCACCCTCACGGGCCGGGTGCTCCCGACTGGGCCTCTCACGCCCGAAACGTGGGATTCATTTACCAATGGCAGCTGGCCAAGCAAACTGTTTCGGATTTTGCTAAAAATCAAACATTAACAACGTTAAGTAGCATTTTTGTTGAATTAGGAATATTAGGAAATTGGTATCGTCCTCAAAGCTTTCACTCTGAAGAAGGGAAGGGCCACCACGGGGTGTGTTTTACGGCAATTCCCAAGGGCCTGGGGCACGTGGAGAGGAGAGTTTTACAAACACACGCAGGTCCTAAACCCTGCACTTTTTTTGAATGCAAGAGTCAAAGC